TGGGTTCGAATCCCGAATGGGGCTCTGAATCGGTACTAAAGTACTGTCGGAAATGCTAGAAAAATGCTTTTTGACTTATATTTAAAATTCAGAGGTATTACATTTACTTAAATAAGAATATATATATTTTTCTTCTCATAAATTTTGTAGACCGCCCGTCTAAGCACTCCCTTGTCAAAGTTGTCAAGGATGGTTTCACGTCCCAGTTTTGCATTTGAGACGGTCCCTGTCTTGTCTGATTTGTTTACAATATTGTAAACTTGTTGGTAAGACATGCCAACAGCTCTATAAGATCTGTAATAAACCCTTTCCAAACTAATGAAAGGTTTACCTCTGTCTTTTTTTAAGCAGAAAAAACTATAAACCTTTGCAACAATCGACTGCAAATCGTTGGCCACAGTGGACGCTGTGATAAAGATGTGCATGCATGACGGGAAACTTATTTATCAAGACTTAACATTTATATTAATATTTCTTCAATAAAGAAACGATAATTAAGTAGAGTAACATAAAAATTCAACAGTTATTTGTTTAGGAAAAACGTTAATTCATATTTTTACACCACCTGTATGATTAGCATAAATGTAAAGACTATTTCAGATTTCTGCTGTTGAACTCTGAAAAAATCTTAAGTTGCTGTTTTGGTACCAAATTCTCTCCTGTAAACTGCCCTTTAAATGCATAGGAAGGTTAAATCGATTGAAATAAAAATTAGGTAGACAATAGGCGAGTTGATAAATTGACAACATAGTTCATTTATCACCTTTATAAAGATATTAAGGCTAAAAAGCATTTTTCTAGCATTTCCGACAGTACTTTAAAATCTGTACTTTACTAAGAAAGTGTAATCCCAAATATAACATGTTACAGTAGTGTGAATACCTGATTATATCTGTTTTGATGTATAAATATCTCACTGAATCTGATGTGTCAGTATTCACTAGAACCGGCGTATAAATATCTCATTGAATCTGATGTGTAAATATTCACTAGAACCGGCGAATAAATATCTCACAGAATCTGATGTGTAAATATTCACTAGAACCGGCGTATAAATATCTCATTGAATCTGATGTGTAAATATTCACTAGAACCGGCGTATAAATATCTCACTGAATCTGATGTGTAAATATTCACTAGAACTGGCGTATAAATATCTCACTGAATCTGATGTGTCAATATTCACTAGAACCGGCGTATAAATATCTCACTGAATCTGATGTGTAAATATTCACTAGAACCGGCGTATAAATATCCCACTGAATCTGATGTGTAAATATTCACTAGAACCGGCGTATAAATATCTCATTGAATCTGATGTGTAAATATTCACTAGAACCGGCGTATAAATATCTCATTGAATCTGATGTGTAAATATTCACTAGAACCGGCGTATAAATATCTCATTGAATCTGATGTGTCAATATTCACTAGAACCGGCGTATAAATATCCCACTGAATCTGATGTGTAAATATTCACTAGAACCGGCGTATAAATATCTCACTGAATCTGATGTGTGAATATTGACTAGAACCGGCGTATAAATATCTCATTGAATCTGATGTGTAAATATTCACTAGAACCGGCGAATAAATATCTCACAGAATCTGATGTGTAAATATTCACTAGAACCGGCGTATAAATATCTCACTGAATCTGATGTGTCAATATTCACTAGAACCGTATAAAATATCTCACTGAATCTGATGTGTCAATATTCACTAGAACCGGCGTATAAATATCCCACTGAATCTGATGTGTAAATATTCACTAGAACCGGCGTATAAATATCTCACTGAATCTGATGTGTCAATATTCACTAGAACCGGCGTATAAATATCTCATTGAATCTGATGTGTAAATATTCACTAGAACCGGCGAATAAATATCTCACAGAATCTGATGTGTAAATATTCACTAGAACCGGCGTATAAATATCTCACTGAATCTGATGTGTCAATATTCACTAGAACCGGCGTATAAATATCTCACTGAATTTGATGTGTGAATATTCACTAGAACCGGCGTATAAATATCTCATTGAATCTGATGTGTAAATATTCACTAGAACCGGCGTATAAATATCTCACAGAATCTGATGTGTAAATATTCACTAGAACCGGCGTATAAATATCCCACTGAATCTGATGTGTGAATATTCACTAGAACCGGCATATAAATATCCCTCTGAATCTGATGTGTGAATATTCACTAGAACCGGCGTATAAATATCTCATTGAATCTGATGTGTAAATATTCACTAGAACCGGCGTATAAATACCCCACTGAATCTGATGTATGAACATCACTAGAACCGGCGTATAAATATCCCACTGAATCTGATGTGTGAATATTCACTAGAACCGTTGTATAAATATCCCACTGAATCTTATGTGTGAATATTCACTAGAACCGGCGTATAAATACCCCACTGAATCTGATGTGTGAATATTCACTAGAACCGGCGTATAAATATCCCACTGAATCTGATGTATAAATATTCACTAGAACCGGCGTATAAATATCTCATTGAATCGTATGTGTAAATATTCACTAGAACCGGCGTATAAATATCCCACTGAATCTGATGTGTAAATATTCACTAGAACCGGCGTATAAATATCCCAATGAATCTGATGTAAGAACATCACTAGAACCGGCGTATAAATATCCCACTGAATCTGATGTGTGAATATTCACTAGAACCGGCGTATAAATATCCCACTGAATCTGATGTGTGAATATTCACTAGAACCGGCGTATAAATATCTCATTGAATCTGATGTGTAAATATTCACTAGAACCGGCGTATAAATATCTCACTGAATCTGATGTGTCAATATTCACTAGAACCGGCGTATAAATATCTCACTGAATTTGATGTGTCAATATTCACTAGAACCGGCGTATAAATATCTCATTGAATCTGATGTGTAAATATTCACTAGAACCGGCGTATAAATATCTCACAGAATCTGATGTGTAAATATTCACTAGAACCGGCGTATAAATACCCCACTGAATCTGATGTGTGAATATTCACTAGAACCGGCGTATAAATATCTCATTGAATCTGATGTGTAAATATTCACTAGAACCGGCGTATAAATATCTCACTGAATCTGATGTGTCAATATTCACTAGAACCGGCGTATAAATATCTCACTGAATTTGATGTGTCAATATTCACTAGAACCGGCGTATAAATATCTCATTGAATCTGATGTGTAAATATTCACTAGAACCGGCGTATAAATATCTCACAGAATCTGATGTGTAAATATTCACTAGAACCGGCGTATAAATATCTCATTGAATCTGATGTGTGAATATTCACTAGAACCGGTGTATAAATATCCCACTGAATCTGATGTAAGAACATCACTAGAACCGGCGTATAAATATCCCACTGAATCTGATGTGTGAATATTCACTAGAACCGTTGTATAAATATCCCACTGAATCTGATGTAAGAACATCACTAGAACCGGCGTATAAATATCTCACTGAATCTGATGTGTAAATATTCACTAGAACCGGCGTATAAATATCTCACTGAATCTGATGTGTGAATATTCACTAGAACCGGTGTATAAATATCCCACTGAATCTGATGTGTAAATATTCACTAGAACCGGCGTATAAATATCTCACTGAATCTGATGTGTGAATATTCACTAGAACCGGTGTATAAATATCTCATTGAATCTGATGTGTAAATATTCACTAGAACCGTTGTATAAATATCCCACTGAATCTGATGTAAGAACATCACTAGAACCGGCGTATAAATATCTCACTGAATCTGATGTGTAAATATTCACTAGAACCGGCGTATAAATATCTCACTGAATCTGATGTGTGAATATTCACTAGAACCGGTGTATAAATATCCCACTGAATCTGATGTGTAAATATTCACTAGAACCGGCGTATAAATATCCCAATGAATCTGATGTGTCAATATTGACTAGAACCGGTGTATAAATATCTCATTGAATCTGATGTATAAATATTCACTAGAACCGGCGTATAAATATCTCATTGAATCGTATGTGTAAATATTCACTACAACCGGCGTATAAATATCCCACTGAATCTGATGTGTAAATATTCACTAGAACCGGCGTATAAATATCTCATTGAATCTGATGTATAAATATTCACTAGAACCGGCGTATAAATATCTCATTGAATCGTATGTGTAAATATTCACTAGAACCGGCGTATAAATATCCCACTGAATCTGATGTGTAAATATTCACTAGAACCGGCGTATAAATATCCCAATGAATCTGATGTAAGAACATCACTAGAACCGGCGTATAAATATCCCACTGAATCTGATGTGTGAATATTCACTAGAACCGGCGTATAAATATCCCACTGAATCTGATGTGTGAATATTCACTAGAACCGGCGTATAAATATCTCATTGAATCTGATGTGTAAATATTCACTAGAACCGGCGTATAAATATCTCATTGAATCTGATGTGTAAATATTCACTAGAACCGGCGTATAAATATCTCACTGAATCTGATGTGTGAATATTCACTAGAACCGGCGTATAAATATCTCATTGAATCTGATGTATGAATATTCACTAGAACCGGCGTATAAATATCCCACTGAATCTGATGTGTGAATATTGACTAGAACCGGCGTATAAATATCCCACTGAATCTGATGTGTCAATATTGACTAGAACCGGTGTATAAATATCCCACTGAATCTGATGTGTGAATATTCACTAGAACCGGCGTATAAATATCCCACTGAATCTGATGTGTGAATATTCACTAGAACCGGCGTATAAATATCTCACTGAATCTGATGTGTGAATATTCACTAGAACCGGCGTATAAATATCCCACTGAATCTGATGTGTGAATATTCACTAGAACCGGCGTATAAGTATCCCACTGAATCTATTTATATGACATATTTATTTAACAAACCCTACAAAGAACCAGTGCCCCTGCTTTGTTTCTTATTCTACAAAGCAGGGAGAAATACCCGACAACGGAACTACAGATGGATTACATCATGTTGATTAGACTTGTGGATTTCATCTCAGCTCTATAAGTGTGGTAAGGCCTTGTCAAGGAAACACTTTAAGTTGAGAGCTGGAGCTTGTCAAACGCGGACCCTTGTCATCCCGGGCACCTGTCATCCCGGGCACCTGTCATCCCGGGCACCTGTCTACGGCCTCCCGCGCCATTGTAGGAATCCCATTGTACATATCAGATATACAACATAGCGTTTGTTAAAGGGGACTTTACTCTGGCAATTTCCAGTCCTAATTGTAATCGTTGAAACGCCACCGTGTTTGTCTGCTAACTCCGGTTTTATGTTCTACCCGTATTATATACAGACAATGTTTCCGTTAAACACAAGGCACTGAAGGGTCTATGCTGGGTGACAGGTATGTAGTGGTCCCCATGGCGCCCTCAGCCTGTACCGTTCAGCAGTAGAGGCAGTGGGGTGGACGTATTGAGGACTGACAAGGGTGTGGTCAGTTGGAGGAACCCGGGCGGGAGGGTGTCGAAGTTGAAGAACGCATTCCCCCACGTCGCTGTTGCCAAGATGATGACGGGGACGGACACAACGTTCATGAGGAAACCACAGGTCACCTGAAAATTCAGCAGCTTGGTTAATGACGGCCATATACGTTACACGGATCAGAAGTCCTTGTATGATTACACAATGATATTTAGAAAGTGGTCAAATGTAACATATGTTATATTTGGGATTACACTTTCTTAGTAAAGTACAGATTCTAGTGCTTTTGTTAGTTTGAGTCCATCAGGGATTCGAACCCACAACGTCAGAGTCAGGCAGCTAATCGCTAGCACACAAAGTCAGCCGTCTAACCCGCTCAGCCATCGCAACGTCCACAAGAATGGAACGGTACTAGAATCTGTACTTTACAAAGAAAGTGTAATCCCAAATATAGCATATGCTACAGAAGTCCTTGTAAACAACAACCTTTGTAAACAACAACCCTTGTAAACAACAACCCCTGTAAACAACAACCCCTGTAAACAACAACCCCTGTAAACAGCAACCCTTGTAAACAACAACCCCTGTAAACAACCCCTGTAAACAACAACCCCTGTAAACAGTAACCCCTGTCAACAACAACCCCTGTAAACAACAACCCCTGTAAAGAACAACCCCTGAAAACAGTAACGCTTGTAATCAACAGCCCTTGTAATCAACAGCCCTTGTAAACAACAACCCCTGTAAACAACAACGTTACCCTTGTATACAACAACCCTTGTAAACAACAACCCTTCAAGCGTAACAGGGCGGTCCGGACACTCTACTCTTGGAGTAAACACAATAACACTGTGGTGGAGTTGACACAGTGTTTACTTGGGGAGCGGAATGTCAGTGGTTCGAGCAAGACACGACCAGCCTCTGCAATATCCCTTTAACGGTGGGAGCCAGACTGGAAAACTTACCATCCTAGAGCGTAGTTTGGTGTGAGGGAGCCTAGGATTCGAACGGGCAGTCAGAACAAAGATTCGAACTGCTCTCATGCAGGTACTCCATCGAATACACCAACACGGCCTCTATCCGACCAACTCTAGTCATTTACTCCAGTAAACATTTACAAGCACATATGATTTAAAGTTTATATCCCGAAATAATATAAAAAAGGTAATTCCTGATTAGTGTTTGTACATGCAGTGAAGGAGGACATAGCATCACTTGAAACAGGCAGTTGTCACCTACCATATCGATTACTCGCACTTGTCCATAAGAAAATACTATCGCATTTGGCGGTGTTGCTACTGGCAACATGAAGGCGAAAGACGTCGCGAGCGCCGTAGGGAACATGAAGAACAGAGGATTGACGTTCAAGTTGACGGCCTACAAAGGAGAATATGCTCAGTAAAGTTGCACTTGTAATATAACATCCACGAAACACTGGAAAAATTGCAACCGATCAACTTGTAACATTAGATGAAATATTTCCTGACATAATTAACGGCAAACATTAACTATATTTATCAACTTTAGCTAAAAGGAAGTCTGACAAATCATCAATTCAAGAAGAACACACTTGATGCACAACTTAACACACAGGTGTACACCATCGTCAGATGTAAGTATATTCGATTCTACCATACAGTTTGATGTGTTTGTTAACTCCGAAATGATACACCTTTAATCCTTGTAACACCATTATTAAACCCACGGGGTCAGGACGTCAAGTATTACTATCAAACGAGTTTGGGATTGTCACCCATAATGTTGTATATACACGGAACTTCCCTCTGTATAACACACATCCCCATGTATAACACACATCCCTAGGTTAAGATATAATGTTTTATATACACGGACTTCCCTCTGTATAACACACATCCCTAGGTTAAGATATAATGTTGAATATACACAGACTTCCCTCTGTATAACACACATCCCTAGGTTAAGATATACTATTGTACATACACGGACTTCCCTCTGTATAACACATATCCCTAGGTTAAGACATGATGTTGTTTTTACACGGACTTCCCTCTGTATAACACACATCCCTAGGTTAAGATATACTATTGTACATACACGGACTTCCCTCTGTATAAAACACATCCCTAGGTTAAGATATAATGTTGTATATACACGGACTTCCCTCTGTATAACACACATCCCTAGGTTAAGATATAATGTTGTATATACACGGACTTCCCTCTGTATAAAACACATCCCTAGGTTAAGATATAATGTTGTATATACACGGACTTCCCTCTGTATAAAACACATCCCTAGGTTAAGATATAATGTTGTATATACACGGACTTCCCTCTGTAGAAAACACATCCCTAGGTTAAGATATAATGTTGTATATACACGGACTGCCCTCTGTATAACACACATCCCTAGGTTAAGATATAATGTTGTATATACACAGACTTCCCTCTGTATAAAACACATCCCTAGGTTAAGATATAATGTTGTATATACACGGACTTCCCTCTGTATAACACACATCCCTAGGTTAAGATATACAGTTGTACATACACGGACTTCCCTCTGTATAAAACACATCCCTAGGTTAAGATATAATGTTGTATATACACGGACTTCCCTCTGTATAAAACACATCCCTAGGTTAAGATATAACGTTGTATATACACGGACTTCCCTCTGTATAAAACACATCCCTAGGTTAAGATATAATGTTGTATATACACGGACTGCCCTCTGTATAACACACATCCCTAGGTTAAGATATAATGTTGTATATACACAGACTTCCCTCTGTATAAAACACATCCCTAGGTTAGGTTATAATGTTGTATATACACGGACTTCCCTCTGTATAACACATATCCCTAGGATAAGATATAATGTTGTATATACACGGACTTCCCTCTGTATAACATACACCCCAAGGATGATATATACTGTTGTATATACACGGACTTCCCTCTGTATAACACACATCCCTAGGTTAAGACATGATGTTGTATATACACGGACTTCCCTCTGTATAACACACATCCCTAGGTTAAGACATGATGTTGTTTTTACACGGACTTCCCTCTGTATAACACACATCCCTAGGTTAAGATATACTATTGTACATACACGGACTTCCCTCTGTATAACACACATCCCTAGGTTAAGATATAATGTTGCATATACACGGACTGCCCTCTGTATAACACACATCCCTAGGTTAGGTTATAATGTTGTATATACACGGACTTCCCTCTGTATAACACATATCCCTAGGATAAGATATAATGTTGTATATACACGGACTTCCCTCTGTATAACATACACCCCAAGGATGATATATACTGTTGTATATACACGGACTTCCCTCTGTATAACACACATCCCTAGGTTAAGACATGATGTTGTATATACACGGACTTCCCTCTGTATAACACACATCCCTAGGTTAAGACATGATGTTGTTTTTACACGGACTTCCCTCTGTATAACACACATCCCTAGGTTAAGATATACTATTGTACATACACGGACTTCCCTCTGTATAACACACATCCCTAGGTTAAGATATAATGTTGTATATACACGGACTTCCCTCTGTATAACACACATCCCTAGGTTAAGATATACTGTTGTACATACACGGACTTCCCTCTGTATAACATACACCCCAAGGATGATATATACTGTTGTATATACACGGACTTCCCTCTGTATAACACACATCCCTAGGTTAAGACATGATGTTGTATATACACGGACTTCCCTCTGTATAACACACATCCCTAGGTTAAGACATGATGTTGTTTTACACGGACTTCCCTCTGTATAACACACATCCCTAGGTTAAGATATACTATTGTACATACACGGACTTCCCTCTGTATAACACACACATCCCTAGGTTAAGATATAATGTTGTATATACACGGACTTCCCTCTGTATAACACACATCCCTAGGTTAAGATATACTGTTGTACATACACACGGACTTCCCTCTGTATAACATACACCCCAAGGATGATATATACTGTTGTATATACACGGACTTCCCTCTGTATAACACACATCCCTAGGTTAAGACATGATGTTGTATATACACGGACTTCCCTCTGTATAACACACATCCCTAGGTTAAGACATGATGTTGTTTTTACACGGACTTCCCTCTGTATAACACACATCCCTAGGTTAAGATATACCATTGTACATACACGGACTTCCCTCTGTATAAAACACATCCCTAGGTTAAGATATAATGTTGTATATACACAGACTTCCCTCTGTATAAAACACATCCCTAGGTTAAGATATAATGTTGCATATACACGGACTTCCCTCTGTAGAAAACACATCCCTAGGTTAAGATATAATGTTGTATATACACGGACTTCCCTCTGTACAACACACATCCCTAGGTTACGATATAATGTTGTATATACACGGACTTCCCTCTGTATAACACACATCCCTAGGTTAAGATATACAGTTGTACATACACGGACTTCCCTCTGTATAAAACACATCCCTAGGTTAAAATATACTATTGTACATACACGGACTTCCCTCTGTATAAAACACATCCCTAGGTTAACATATAATGTTGTATATACACGGACTTCCCTCTGTATAACATACACCCCAAGGATGATATATACTGTTGTACATACACGGACTTCCCTCTGTATAAAACACATCCCTAGGTTAACATATAATGTTGTATATACACGGACTTCCCTCTGTATAACATACACCCCAAGCATGATATATACTGTTGTATATACACGGACTTCCCTCTGTATAAAACACATCACTAGGTTAAGATATAATGTTGTATATACACGGACTTCCCTCTGTATAACACACATCCCTAGGTTAAGACATGATGTTGTATATACACGGACTTCCCTCTGTATAACACACATCCCTAGGTTAAGATATACTGTTGTATATACACGGACTTCCCTCTGTATAAAACACATCCCTAGGTTAAGATATAATGTTGTATATACACGGACTGCCCTCTGTATAACACACATCCCTAGGTTAAGATATAATGTTGTATATACACGGACTTCCCTCTGTATAACACACATCCCTAGGTTAAGATATACAGTTGTACATACACGGACTTCCCTCTGTATAAAACACATCCCTAGGTTAAGATATAATGTTGTATATACACGGACTTCCCTCTGTATAAAACACATCCCTAGGTTAAGATATAATGTTGTATATACACGGACTTCCCTCTGTATAAAACACATCCCTAGGTTAAGATATAATGTTGTATATACACGGACTTCCCTCTGTATAACACACATCCCTAGGTTAAGATATACAGTTGTACATACACGGACTTCCCTCTGTATAAAACACATCCCTAGGTTAAGATATAATGTTGTATATACACGGACTTCCCTCTGTATAAAACACATCCCTAGGTTAAGATATAATGTTGCATATACACGGACTTCCCTCTGTATAAAACACATCCCTAGGTTAAGATATAATGTTGTATATACACGGACTGCCCTCTGTATAAAAAAAAAATCCCTAGGTTAAGATATAATGTTGTATATACACAGACTTCCCTCTGTATAAAACACATCCCTAGGTTAAGATATAATGTTGCATATACACGGACTGCCCTCTGTATAACACACATCCCTAGGTTAGGTTATAATGTTGTATATACACGGACTTCCCTCTGTATAACACATATCCCTAGGATAAGATATATATGTGTTGTATATACACGGACTTCCCTCTGTATAACATACACCCCTAGGATGATATATACTGTTGTATATACACGGACTTCCCTCTGTATAACACACATCCCTAGGTTAAGACATGATGTTGTATATACACGGACTTCCCTCTGTATAACACACATCCCTAGGTTAAGACATGATGTTGTTTTTACACGGACTTCCCTCTGTATAACACACATCCCTAGGTTAAGATATACTATTGTACATACACGGACTTCCCTCTGTATAAAACACATCCCTAGGTTAAGATATAATGTTGTATATACACGGACTTCCCTCTGTATAACACACATCCCTAGGTTAAGATATACTGTTGTACATACACGGACTTCCCTCTGTATAACATACACCCCAAGGATGATATATACTGTTGTATATACACGGACTTCCCTCTGTATAACACACATCCCTAGGTTAAGACATGATGTTGTATATACACGGACTTCCCTCTGTATAACACACATCCCTAGGTTAAGACATGATGTTGTTTTTTACACGGACTTCCCTCTGTATAACACACACATCCCTAGGTTAAGATATACTATTGTACATACACGGACTTCCCTCTGTATAAAACACATCCCTAGGTTAAGATATAATGTTGTATATACACGGACTTCCCTCTG